AGTCTGAATGGGAGGAAAAAGGGTGGGAAAACGAGATAAAAGGATGGGGAAATGGGATAAAAGGTGATGGTTGCACCTAAACTGGTACACGTTTGGCCATGCCCTGCACCTGTTCACTGCAGTTTCTCCTCTCTTCCTCTTAAATTCTGTTCCTGATTATTTTCATGGATGAGGGGCTCTTTATTTTGTGAGTGTGTGTGCAGACCACTGAAGAGGGGACCACAGGTTGCAGAGACTGTGTGTCTGGGGTGCCAACATCTTGAGAGACCAGACTTCTGGCCTGTTGTGTGTGCGTGTGCGTGCCAGTGGGTGGTTGCAAGTGGATACAAAGCTGGACTAGCTGGTGAGTAAGTTAAATGGCTTGGCAGCCACCTACTAAATCAGGTATGAGGCTGGGTCAAATACTGAAGATACCAGAGGATCTGAGTTGGCTACAGGTTGGACAAGGAGATCTGAGCTTGTTACTGGAGAGACTATAAGGTCTTGGGGCCATGCCATTGGACTAGACCAGCTAGCAAAGACTCATTTGTGTGTGTTTGCATATGTGTATGCGTCCATGTGAGGCAACTGGGAGACTAGGTGATCCAAGCCCAGCTGCTGCAGAGACTGCATGTCTAAGTCTCTAAGGCAGGTTACTGGAGGCACCCACTATATGTATGATTGGGTGCTCAGTTCCAGCCACTGGAGTAGGGCTGAGCCCTTGAGTACGGGTATGTCTGGGTGTGCCAATGTATGCCATCAAGTGGACAGAAGAAGGATCCTGGGGCAGCTACTGTGTAGACTGAATTCAAATACCAGAGGGATCCACGTTGTATATTTGCACGCATATGTGTATGTGTATACATATATTTATTTATTTTTTCTTTTCCACTAATGAGCTTTCAGTATGATCATCCAGAAACAGGAACTGAAAGTCCATTTGTGCTGTCTGCATTTGAGTAAGTGCAGTCTTTTCTGTCTCTATTGATCTGTGTGGCCAGCTGTGTGTGTGTGTATATATGTATATGCATATGCGTATGTACATTGTGTATACATATAGTGGGCATGCCTGCCTGTTGGGCTACTAGATTTGCCAACTTCTAAGATTTGTCTTCAACAGATGAACAGAGACTAGAGACACAAAGTATGTGACATAAGGCTACATCTAGGAACTTTGCAGAATTCCTGTGGGGCTCCAATTTGCTAATTAGAGACAATGTTTATCAACTTCCTATGTTTTCAGGGATTACCATTTACTCTTATCCCATTATTTACCTGTTTCAGGGAAGATGTTACAGGAGCAAAACCTGAGAGCATCTTCACATCAACAATAGCCATGTTGGAGACACTGCGGTTTCCTGTGTAACTAAAATGAGAGAAGTTCTGTTAGTTTGATCTGCAGATGGAGAAGAGACCAGTGAATGACTTTCAGCTCCAGCGACCCTATTTGTCTTCCTGTAGCTGCACAGTAGCAGTTAAGTGCCTATATTTAAATCCTTCCTTGGATGCTTTACCAAACTGTGAATGTAAGGGGGTAGATTAATAAGAGGAGTCAATAAGAGGAAGTTACCTGACAGAGAGGACAAGGTCAAATTTTGGTGGGAAGTTGCTTGTGCAGGAAGCATTGGTTAACTTCACAGACAGAGAAAACCCTGCAGCTCTTTTTGGCAAATGGATGTTGTATCTCAGGGTGGTCTAAAAGAGATAAATGTGAGATGGTCCCAGGGGCTTTGACATAAGGTATGGAGGGCAAGAAGTTAGGGGGGATCCCCTGATTAATCCTCAGAGAGGTGGTGCTGAGCTTGCTTACCTGCAGATAGACACAGCCAGTGCCATTCACTTCCACACTATAATTCCCTGGAATAGTGGGTAAGGAAATCTGCTGCAGTAAGAAGCGGTTCTTGTCATTCACTTGGAAGGTCTTACTGGGGTAGTCCATGAAATTAACTTTGACTGTGTTAAGACCTTTTTTAGAGAAGGTGAGGTATCCATACTGCGCTAAAGCTTGGAGTGCAACAACAGTGTCCTGGAAAGAACAACATGACCCCTAATTAGACAGATACCCAGCTGGAAGATGGTGCATGAGGTTAGCACAGCACCTGTTTCCCTGATGCTTTGTCAGTGCTCATAAATGGAGAGGGACTTTGCAAGGAGCTAAAGAGATGAGATACAAGTTCTGAGGACACAGATTTGAATTATCCCAGAAAATCTGGGATAATGCTGTATCAGCAGTGTCTGTTTTCTACTGCTAACTTGAAACTCAGGTAAATTACCATTTCCTAAAACTAAAATATGGATGAAACTGCCTATGAAGAGTTTGTTGTGCCTTGACAAGGAGATTTGTGTGAGCACGATTTATCAAATATTATTCAAACAAATATGTAATCAGGAAATATGTCATACAATTGAGATCCAGCTTGCAGGCTAGACTGCTCCCAGAAACTTTCTTTTTATCACACCCAGTTGTTACCTGGCTGGAGGAGAAACCACCATATGGGTTCTGTTGTTTGACAAGCCAGTACACAATGCGAGAAATGTAAGAAGTGTCTTCTGGAGTGAGTTTGGCTTTTTTGAGCAAAGCCAAGAGCACATAGCTTGTTGTTTCAATCTCAGCAGAAGGGGCACGGGAATAGAAATCAGGGAAATATTCTGCTGGTGGCTTGTTTTCTCTCTGCCAATGAACTGAACCACCTGAAAATAGAAGAGCAGGATGTAAAAAGCATGGGAAAATTAATTCCTGGTTAATTCACTACAGTATCATGTGGGAGATAGGTATACAATTCCCTCTCTCCCATCACCCAAAAGTTTTTTAAGCCATCAGAGTCCTGGATGGGATTTAGTTCCAGGATGGAAAAGAAAACAGGAAGAAATAGGAAGGGAATTAAAATGAGTCTGTATAAGTCAAAGGGTGGTTGAAGTGAAGGAGAAGAATGCAGAAGAATGCTAGGACAGTCACAGACTGAAGCACATGAAATATTTAAGGGACTTGGGTTCATTGAGCCTGTAGAAGAGAAGGGTAATGGGGAAACAAGATGTAGCCTTCAACTGCTTTGGACTGGAGACTTCAAGAGGTCTCTCCCAATCTACATTATTTCACAATTTTAAGAAAATCAAGCCACAGCTCAATCTCAAAAGGAATGGACACAGAAATTCATAGAGATAAATTCAATAGCACAGGATGCATGAAATGGGATGGCAGCAGCATGAATGAGTGTCCTGGCCTGAGCCAGGATGAAGCCAATTTTCCTTTTACTGATTTTCTTCCCTTCAGTAAGCTTTCTTTTAACTAGTCACAGAGCCTTCCAACTTATACTGATAAGAACAGAATGTTTTTCTAACTGCTGGGTCTCCAAGGTCACACTTTCACTCTGCCAGCTCAGACGCTACAGGGAGATTTATGACCCCCCGTAGGATGCTGAGTTAGACAGACAGCAAAACTGGCCAGAGATGTTCCATTCCATAGAGCTACATAAGCTCAGAGGAAGGTCAGAGATCTCAGAAGACAACTTTCTTCCTGCTGCTTCTTCCCTTCTCTTCCGTCCATGGCCGGCGTCCAGGGAGGACTCCGTCCATCCATCACCATCGACCCCCAGGCTCGAGCTGTCCTGACCCTCATCACTCTGTGCTTTCTCCAGCATCTCCGGGATTCCTCGGGACTGTTCCAGCTCAGGAGATGCTGTGGGAGTTGCTGGGGGTGGGGGGAGGCCAGAGACTTTTGCAGATATCTGAACATATCTGTATATGATTGTATATATTTTCTGATATCATTAGTGTTTAATTAAAGCTGTGCAGTTTAGTTTTCAATCCAGCCAAGTCTCTCTCTTTTCTCTCTCTCCTTCCCCTCCTGGGTGGGAGGGGGAGGGGACCGAGACCATTGTTGTCAGACCTGATTCAAACGGTGACAATGAGAAAATCATACTTACATACATGTAAGAACAGCTTACATCCAGATCACAGGCCATTCCATGAGCTGCATCGTCAGTATCATGGCCATACTGCACTTACCATCTCTGTTAGCTCTTTTGTCCAGATTGTCAAGGAAGAATTGGCATCTTTCCTCTTTGCCAGTTAAACGATAAGCATAGGCAAAGAGGGCCTGGTTATGGAGACTGTGGACTCCATTGCTAAATGCGGTCTCCAAACATCTCATGCCATTCTGAACCACGGGATGCTGGTAATGCAAAACATAGTTGGGTTGTCAGGTAATTGGATTTGTGTCTCAACTTCTCTTTAAATACTTCCATCACTATTTATGCTACCATCACTGACCCTTCATGCCAAAATATACATGAACCATGGCATGTTTAAGGGCCTACAGTGTGTATTCTGTATTCTGTAAAAAATGCTTTTCCACTCTTGCTGCCTTCTTTTTGCATTTATTTAGAGGCAGCATGGCTGGACTAATAGAGCACTGGTTCTATCCTTACTTGCTAGATGACCTTAGACTGGTGAATCCTTTGTCTATTCATTGCTATAGCTCTAAAAGATGGATACATTTTACAGAGCTATGTGAAGTGTATTGAGACCTCATGATAAAGCAGGGTATGCCAGTTGGGTGTTAATACTCGCTAGCTATCTTATGGCAGTGCAGGGTTCTGGAAACAGAATTCCTCAGCTGACCGTACTGTCCCACAATCAGTATTTACTGTATTGTTAAAGAATGTGGACTGTGACTTGTTCACTGTTTGACATGGTTGGTCAGACTAATAAAACATAACAGCATCAAATGCCTACCACGACAGTGTGTCCAGCCTCTAGCAATGCTGCCACAACGTAAGCTGTGAGTGAGTATTCACCTTGTTCTCCACTCTGAAGAGAACACATGCAAAAAAAAAAAAGAAAGAAAGAAAGAAAAAAAAAAGGTCAGTACAAATGTCCCAGAAAGAAACAGAATATGAATTAATTCATAGTTCATATACCAGTTAGGTTTGAGATCAGAAGTAATTTCTTTCTCCTTGTGTGTACAGGAACAAGAAAAATCAAGTTCATTCAGGATGAAGCCAAAATTATTTAATGCATTTTCTTGGGTTTTGCACATATGCAATATAGCATACTGTAGCCTGTGGCTGGACACATATTGCGGGGGTGGAAAATAAGACCGGAGACTTCTGACTGAGCTGAACTGGCTTCTACCTCATCATCAATAGCAGACATGAGAATCATGCCCTGCTTGTACATGAGAGGTGTGCAAGACATAATACAAGCAAGGGTGTGGTCACAAGCTGGTGTTAGGCAGAAATTATCTAAATCAATCCCAGTGGTAGGACTGGAAGCTGGGGACTATACTTGTCCCAGTGCTTACGTTCAAAGCATTGTTGAAATGTGACCCAGCATTTTCAAAGCATCCATCTGACTTCTGCTTACTTGCCAGCCAGATCAAAGTTTGAGACTGGACCTTTTTGTCAATGTAGATGTAGCGTCTGGCTTGTGCAAATGACTTGTACACAAAGGCAGTGAGCCTGCAGGTGAACCAGAAACACAAAGCAGGTAAAGTGTGAACAAGATCAAGAACATTTACTAGCAATTGGATATAGAATCATAGCATTGGTTTGGTTGGAAAAGACCTTTCAGATTCTCAAGTCCAGCTGTTAACATAGCACACTGGCAAGTCCACCACTAAACCATGTCCCTAAGTACCTACATGTCCTTTAAATACCTCCAGGGATGATGACTCCACCACATATCCATAGAAAATGACTTAAAGTGAACTCTGTAATTTATGAGTTAAAAGAAAGTGTGTTTTAAGTTTCAAATAAATAAGATAGCTAAAATCCTGGTAATAAAAACTGACCAGAGGTTTCTCCATTACTGTACTGAAACCATTCTTTCAGACTGGTAAAAAGTATAGACACAGCTTGATGACATATTATAGCAATTTCTAATCTTAATTAACAGAATTATGAAATAAACTAGTTGGTAAGGGATCTCTGGGAGTCTCCAGTCCAACCACCTGCTTAAACTAGGGCCAAATTCAAAGCTCATTCTCTTGTTTGGTCATGTCATGAACATCTCCAGGGATAGAGATATCAGTATCCTCTCTGAGCATTTGTCTCAATGCTGCAGCCTTCTCATGGGGAAGATAATTATTTCCCTTCAATCCAGCTGGGTTTTCCATTGTGCAACTTGAGTAAGGATAAAGTCTTACTCAAGTAAGGATAAGACATTCTTGCGCAGCATGCTGGTGCTTGTGGGACAAGTGTGCTGGAAAGGCCTTTCAATCTGCTGTCTCAGGGGAGGTGGGGGATGCTGATCCATGTGGCAGCAAAAATACAAGGCTCATTGGCTATGGGAGCAGCCGAGAATGGTCAGGTAGTGGCCAAATCATTAGCCCAGCTGAAGTGCATCTACACCAATGCATGCAGCATGGGCAATAAACAGGAGGAGCTGGAAGCTGTTCTGCAGCAGGAAAACTGTGACATAGCTGCCATCACAGAAACCTGGTGGGATGACTTGTATGACTGGAGTGCTGGAATCAGTGGCTACCAAATTTTCAGAAGAGATAGACTCTGAAGAAGAGGCACTGGGGTGGCCCTCTATGTTAGGGAGATATATGAATGCCTGCAAATTAATGAGGGTGATGATAGGGTTGAGTCCTTATGGGTAAGAATCAGGGGGAAGGGCAACAAGGCTGATACCATGGTGGGAGTCTGTTACAAACCTCCCAGCCAGGATGAGGAGGTGGATGAAATATTTTATAAACAGATAGGAAATGTTTTACAATTGCTACCCCTTGTTCTCATGTGGGCCTTCAATTTCCCAGATGTCTCCTAGAAATACAATACAGAAGAGAGAGAAAAGTTGTGGAAGTTCCTGGAGTGTGTGGAAGTTAACTTCCTGATGGAACTTGTGAGGGAACCAACCATGGAAGGTGCCCTCCTGACCTGCTCCTTGGGAACAGAGAAGAACTTGTTGGGGGAAGTAATGGTTGGAGGCCGTCTGGGGCACAGCGATCATAAAACAATAATGTTTTCAATTCTTGGGGAAGTAAGGAGGGGAGTCAATAGAGCTGCCACCATGGACTTCCAGAGGGCAGACTCTGGCCTGTTGAGGGGACTGATCAACAAAATCCTTTGAGAGGCAGCCCTGAAGGGTAAAGGAGTCCAGGAAGGTTGAACATACTTCAAAAAAGAAGACTTAAAGGAGCAGGAGCCGGCTATTTTCATGTGCTGAAAGGCAAGTTGGCGAGGAGGAAGATAGGCCTGGCTAAATAGAGAGCTTTTGCTGGAACTCAGGAATAAAAGGAGAGTTTATGGCCTGTGCAGGAGGGGGCAAGTCTCTCATGAGGACTACAAAAATACAGTGAGGCTATGCAGGGAGAAAATGTGGAGAGGCAAAGCCCAACTAGAACTCAAGCTAGCTACAGCTATTAAAGACAATAAAAAGTGTTTCTATAAATGTATCAACAGCAAAAGGAGGACTAGTGAAAATCTCCATCCTTTATTGGTTGCAGGGGGAAACTTAGTGACAAAGCATGAGCAAAACACTGAGGTGCTTAATGCCTTCTTTGCCTCAATCTTTACCAGTAGAACTAGTTGTTCCCTGGACACTCAGCCCCTGAGCTGGAGGACAGGGAGAAGGGACAGAATCAAACCTCCTGGATCAAAGAGGAAATAGTCAGGGACCTGCTGCAACATTTAAACATGTACAAGTCTATGGGCCGGGATGGGTTACACCCAAGAGTATCGAAGGAGTTGGCGGATCTACTCGCCAAACCTCTTTCCTTCATTTACCTAAAATCTTGGCAAACTAGGGAAGTCCAAGTGGGCTGAAGGGTGGCAAATGTGACACACATGAAAGGCTGGAAGGAGAATCCAGGCAACTACAGAAATGTCAGTCTAACCTTGCTGGGGAAGGCACAAATCACCTTGAGTGTTGTGATGCTCCATTTACAGAACAATCAGGTGATCTGGCGCAGTCAGCATGGATTTATGAAAGGCAGGTCCTGCTTGATGAACCTGATCTCCTTCTATGACAAGATGACCCACCTGGTCAATGAGTGAAAGGCTGTGAGTATTGTCTACCTGGACTTCTGTGAAGCCTTTGACACTGCCTCTTACTGCATTCTCATGAAAAAACTGGCTGCTCATGGCTTGCATGGGCATGCTCTCCGTTGGCTGGGTGGCCAGGACAAGAGAGTGGTGGTGAATGGAGCTAAATCCAGCTGGCAGCCAGCCACAAGTGGAGTTTTTCAGGGCTCAGTGTTGGGACCATTTCTGTTTAACATCTTTATCAATGACCTCAATGAGGAGACAGAATGCACGCTCAGTAAGTTTGCAGATTACACCAAACTGGATGGGAGTGTTGATCTGCTTGAGTGTAGAGAGGGTCTACACAGGGACTTAATCACTAGGTCAATGGGCTGAGGAAAACTGTATGAGCTTCAACAAGGCCAAGTGCCAGGTCCTGCACTTGGGCAACAACAACCCCAGGCAACGCTCCAGGCTTGGGGACATGTGGCTGGAAAGTGTCTGGCAGAAAGGGACCTCAGGGTGCTGATTGACAAGCAGCTGAACATGAGCCAGCAGTGTGCCCAGGTGGCCAAGAAGGCCAATGGCATCCTGGCTTGTATTGGAAATGGTGTTGCAAGCAGGTCTAGGGAAGAGATCTTCCCCCGGTACCCTGCACTGCTGAGGCCCCACCTCAAATACTGTGTTCAGTTTTGGGCACCTCAGTGCAAGAAAGAGATCGAGGTGCGGGAGTGGGTGCAGAGGAGAGCAACTAGGCTGGGGAAAGGCCTAGACAAGAGTCTTATGAAAAGTGGCTGAGGGAACTGGGCTTATTTAGTCTGAAGAAAAGGAGGCTGAGGAGACCTTATTGCTCTCTACAACTATCTGAAAGGACATTGTAGAGAGGTAGGTGCTGGTCTTTGCTCACAAGTAAACAGTGATAGGACAAGAGGGAATGGCCTATAGCTACACCAGAGGAAGTTTAGGCTGGACATCAGGAATTTGTTTTTTCTGAAAGAGTTGTCAGGCATTGGAACAGGCTGCCCAGACAGGTGTTTGAGTCACCATCCCTGGGTATGTTCAAAAGTCATATAGATGTGGAGCTTGGGTTATGGTTTAGGGATGAATATGGTAGAGCAGGGTTAAAGGTTGGACTTGAAGATCTTAAAGTTCTTTTCCAAACTAAATGAATCTATGAAGAGTCTGAATCTGTCTTTTCTACCGTCTCATATGGGTAGTGGAAAGCTTCACATAAGTTGTCCATTTCTCTTCTTCTACAGGCTGAACAAAGCCAGTTCCTTCAGCCTCTCTTTGAATGTTAGTCCAGCCCCCAATCATCTTATCCCTTTTTCGCATTTTTTCCAGTTTATTGATCTCTCCTTTGCTATGAGATCCAAATTAATTAATCTATGTCCATTTAGTCTATTAAAAATAAGAATCACTGAACACTTTGATCATTTTTCAAAGCCTAAAACCCCCGTGTTAGGGAAACAGAAAGCGTCATCACTTACCATACACTCCCTTCCCTGTCTCGTGTCCCAAAGGAGCTGTAGGATCCATCTTGGTGTTTGTATGTGAGTTGTTTTTGGTACCCTGAAAATACAATAAAGGCATATTTTCTTAAGACAGAAAATGACTAGTTGTGATGTTTATTCGACTGAAGAAGTAGGACTTGTGGATTTAATTTTAAGTAATGTATGTCTGGTGAATAATGTCAGCAACTATGACTTCTAGATGATTTTGCTCTTGTAAATATGACATGCTGCTTTGAGGTGCTGTTTTTGCCTGCTTCTATGCAATAGATGGGGTGCTAGAAATCAGAGATCAGTGCTCACCATGTAGAGCTTTAGACTTTAATGCACACAATCACAGCATTAGATAAAAGAATCTGAAAGCCTGTCACCTGTGGATAAATATCCAGTACCCTTGTCTCTAATCTCTTCAGTTAGCTGCCCAGTCTTATTCAGATAATCCAGAATATAGATGTTAGGTGTGAACAAGGCCATGTTCTGTTCTCCACAGCCATAAGGCATATTGAGGAGGTTGTCCATGTTTGTCAGGGCTGTACCCAAAACATCTCCTAGAGAATTAAAGATACAAGGAGTTAGTTCAGTTCAATTTCTTTTTTTTTTTTTTTTTTTTTTAATTGCACAGCATTATACATTGCTTTGTATATTATGAACCTAAGGGCAATGACCAGTACAAAGTAGTCACAGTAACCAAAGACACACACTAACAGAAAGGCTGAAATGTCCTTATTTACATTTTTATCTTTTATTTTGGTGCTGGACACCTGGGACAAACTGAGAATTTGAGAAAAAACTGAACACCAATAGTGGCTGGCATGAATTTTGAGAAACAGCTGTGAACCCTTAGGAAAGGTTAAGCTTCCCTGCCCTTTACACGCTGCTTCCTGTTTTGTGTGTACCTGTGAGGATCAAGTGTGGTTATGGTGCTGATGGGCTATAGAGGCTACTGCACAGTATCAGCACACCTCACAATGACCCTAATATAAATTGAAATAGACTATTTTCACCACTTTTGATGTGGTATGAGAGAATTCTGAGCAACTTTTGTCTTTCATTGCCATTTTGCAAAGTAGGAAATATTTTCTCTAAAATCACAGTTTGATATCTCCTCAACTTTAATTAGTTTTGTATATGTATAAATGGTGGCATTATGTTCAGCACAAGAGAGAAATGCCATTTAATTCTGTTGTTAAGTGCTAAACTTACCCATGACAGAAAAGTAAGCTCTGGCTGATCCTTGTACTATGTTTCTTGGGAGGTTGAGAGAGACTGGTTCAGACTTTGTTACGCCTAATGAGAAAATGTAACAAGAATTGTTAAAATTGTTTATTTATTTATTTATTCAGAAGTCTTTGCTTTGTAGCCATTACTACAGTGACTATTACAATCTGCAGTCCTGGGTAAAGAAGCTGCTGCAGAGAATTGTTCAATGAGTCAAAGGTATCTCTGAAAACCCAGAATTGTAGCCCAGCACCTTGACCCTGAGACCCTCTCTTCTCCCCTGGAAGTGTCTCTGGTTTTGCAGGACAAAACCTACAAGACAATGAAGCAGGTTTCCTAACTCTCTGTAATGAAGAAATGAATGAACTTACCTTTGGTACAGAAAAGAGTGCTCTGAGTCAGTTCTTTTTTAATACCTTCAGACTGTTTGATTGCAGGAAAGTGGTCAGGAAGAGAAAGAAAAGTGAAGTGTTGACCATGAAACCGTGAACAAGGTAATGGCATAAAACAGTATGTGGATGTAGCTACCCAGATGGTACATGCCTTGTACCCCGTCCTGCCCTACCCCCACCAGAATAGTGGAATTCCTCCACCTATCTCTTGACCAATAGTTCTTTCTCTGTTTTACCCACCCCCCTATCCAGAGAACCTACCTTCATAGAAAGCAGTTATAACACAGACTTTTCCAGCCTCTGTTTTATGATGCTCAAGGTAAATCCTTTTCCTTTTGTGCCTGCCCTCCACTGAACTCCTCAGTATTATAGGCTAAAGGCATTTACAGGTAAGATATGGAATCTCCCCAGTTTTGGCTACTGACATCTGTGAACCATTAGGACATGTACGCTTGTGGTCCCAAGAAGGTGACAATGACAGAAGGACAGCAGATGACACGATGGTTGCTATTTATACTCTCATTTTCACTTGGAGAAGCCTTCTGTTCACAGTTCCCCCTGTGTGATCTGCCTCGCCTCCCCACACTCGCTATTTGCTTCTAAGCCACAGCTGTAGGAATTGTGGTTTACACAAAGTAGAAAGCACATGCAAATTTTCAACTGTACCTCAACAAGGAGGGTTTGAACCAAGGTGTCCCTGTTTATTGTCTCCTCTTGCAGGGATGTACTGTTTCCTGTTCCTCCAGTACTTAGTTTGGCCTCAGCAGTAATAGTGAAATTCACCTCACCTGGAAAGCCAAGCACCAGCCCAAGAAAACAAAGTTATCTTCAATGTCTACAGTTATGCCTGGCTTTCATTGCCTCTTCCGTGCTGATAAGACTGCTGAGAAAAATACCCTCTCTGAAGGCAGCTCAGTAGAAACAAATTTCATTTAGGCTCCACCCCTGCCCACTAGTGACAAGGAGTGGTTGCCTGGAGCCCCAGCGTGGCCAAACAACTGACAGGACTTACTACCGTTTTCTACTTCTTAGCCTTGTGTGGAGTTTTATCTGGCCTAGGGCAGTGTTGCAATACTTACAGCTTTTCTACCACTTTCCTTCAGATGGAGTTTATTAACAGTGGGACAACATTGAGTAACAGCCACAGTGCAGCTGCCAAGCAGAGGAGCAACAATGAAGAGAGCAGCTTTGCAGGCCTTGCTCATTTCACTCCTGCAGACATTTCAAAGTGGAAATCCAAAGGAATTTTTCTACTTGGAACAAAATGCACTTCAGAATTAGCAGGGAGAGACAGCAGCTTTCTTTTATTCAGCTCTGCAGTATTATTTTGCTGCATAGCCAGTTTTCATCTCACTCTAAGTTTGCATCTTTCTCAGTGAGTTTGAAGAAAACCAGTCATAGTGGCCATAGGGTTTTAGAAACAATTGTTTAAGGAAAATAGCCCATCTGTGGTTCATTTTGAGAAGAATCTTCAGTAATTCGAACTTTTTTGTGTGTACATGCAAGCTGTTGTCACTGCTTTTTTAAAAAAGACAATGTTCACTTAAGTCAGTTAACACAGCTGTAAAATCAGAGAAAAGCAGTATCTCCTTTGCCTATTCAGAATCCAGCCCAAAATTAGTAGCAAATTTTATTCTTACTGAGTACAGCTGGTTAGGTGCAAAACTGTGAGCTGAACATCATAGGCACATGAAATCCTGTCAGTATTTAATATATAATGTGGCAAGTGAACAGTTCTTCCTAAACTGGACAGGAAATGTACTACCAAGAATCAGAAGAGATAAAACACCAGAACAATTCGCTCCTCACTCACTATGTCTAAGGGAACTTTAGCAAGGGTCAGTACTAAATTTGTGGAGCAATAAATGGACCTCTCCAGAAATGCCTGTCTGTGGATTATTGGTGCTGCATTAAAGGGCAGGAAGGAGAGAAGTATAAAGATAAAACAGGAGTATATCAGGTTGATGAACAGACAAACTTACCAAGTCTGTGGGGGCTAACAGCCCAAATATAGGTTTTCCTTTCATTGGCACACAACTTTACTGTGTTGCCTCCTGGTGAAAGGATTTTTGCCTTGTAGTCACTCGACTTTGCCAGTATGGCACTTATCTGAGACAAAAAAAAAAAAAAAAAAAAAAAAAAAAAAAAAGAGCGAGATTACAAATAAAGTAGGCTGCCCCTCAAGTCAGGCTGCAGGACAAGGGACTTGCTGGAGAACCTATTTGACATCTGAATCTGTGACATGGTACCAAGAAAGAAGGATGGAACGTTTATCTGAGGAAATGGTAAACCAGTCCCTTTTCTGTCTACTATTAGCATCCATTTTTTACAGAAATCAGCCAAGGTGTCTATATGATATAATCAGCAGCCATTGTGTTTTGCACAACACAGTACACATACCATCAGCTCAAGTTCCTCCTTGAGGAACAAAAAGAATAACAAAATTTTATAGGGATAAGGAGCAAGTTCTGATTACAAATAAAGTAGGCTGCCCCTCAAGTCAGGCTGCAGGACAAGGGACTTGCTGGAGAACCTATTTGACATCTGAATCTGTGACATGGTACCAAGAAAGAAGGATGGAACGTTTATCTGAGGAAATGGTAAACCAGTCCCTTTTCTGTCTACTATTAGCATCCATTTTTTACAGAAATCAGCCAAGGTGTCTATATGATATAATCAGCAGCCATTGTGTTTTGCACAACACAGTACACATACCATCAGCTCAAGTTCCTCCTTGAGGAACAAAAAGAATAACAAAATTTTATAGGGATAAGGAGCAAGTTCTTATTTTTTGTGGGCTGGACACAGTGATCATCAGCCACTTTTCCCTGATGTGATGATGATGGGGGTGGCTCCAGGGCAAGAGGATGAGAAAGTAATGTATCAGGCTAAAGTGTAAGTGAAAATTTTTTTCTGCATTTCTGATGCATTATGCAGGAGAATGCTAGGATCTCTAGGAAACACACAAACCATATGGGAAGTAAAAGGGAACTTTATATACCTGGATGCATTTGTTTAGGTAGTTGAAGACATTTGATATTAAATTAAATTTTTCCCCTCGAATGACAGAGTACGGCAAGGTAAGAGCCACAAAGAATGGTTGGAATGCTGTCAGTGGAACAGGTGAGGAGATGCCAAAACCAGCATCATCTTGAACACAGAAAGCACTGGCTTTCCACTCTGTGATGGAATCAGGGATCGTGTAAAAGACATCAGCCTCGCCTCTGGAACTGAGCAAAATAAGAAAAACAGAATGAGAAATTATCTTGGGCACTTCAAAGACAATTTATAAAATAGGCTCCTTTCTTGAGTTAGTACTTCTGTTTCATCTCTCTTTCTGCAAGGTACCTCTCCATATTTAAAACAATATAATAAAGCTGGAAGCAAAGATGAGGAATGCACGTGCTGTGATAGCCTGGAAAGAAAAAACAAAATAATTGAGTTTACTGCTGCTAAATTAAAAATATTATTAAAAAAAAATAGCTTAGCTCCTGCTTCTCTCCTAAACAAATGCTCTTGTTTTACTTTTAGCTCTCATTCTTCCCCTCCATCAGAATGATGGAGCAGAGCACAGAACGGTTATGTCACAGTTCAAGTACGTTTGACACTGTATACAGGGTTGGGAGCTCAATGATCATTGAGCAAGACAGGAAAAGGACATGCACCTGCTACAAAGCAGCTGTGTTCCATGGTTTCCTCTCAGAATTCATCTCAGCAACATTTGTCAACACAGAAATCCACGTAAGAATAAGAAGTCAAGATAAGAGTACTCACTCGGTGTGAACCAGATCCCAAATCCAGGTCTCAGGGAAGAATTTCCGAACAGTAGTAACACCACTCCCACCAATAAGCCTCTCTAGAAGATTGTGTATGGTTAAAGTAAATATGAGAGAGGTCAGGCCAGAATCTGAACTGCTGTCAGACATGCTCAACACCATAAAGGAAAATAAGTATTCCATTTGAACATTTTCCCATTAAAATTTCCACATAAAAAAGGAAAATTCAAACAAATACAAGAACAATTTCTTATCTATTATCTTTTCACATGGGAAAATACTAGAAAATTTGGCTGTTTCACAAGACACTTTGCTTTACTTCATGTTGAAAGGTCTCATAATTCAGTTAGGCATGTTCATTGTCCTCTTCCACTAGCACTCTTTGATTTACTAATGGGAAGCAGTAGCCAGTATTGTCACCAAAGTTTATAATGCTTTACAAACTGCCCTGGTAGCTTAATCATTGTTCAGTAACTCAACCCTGTTCAGTAGTTAAAAATGGAGCTGAATATCCTGTCCATTGGAAAACTATTTCTGTTTATAGCCAAACTACAGGTCTGATTTTTATATTCCTGTGATCACAGTACTCCTCTAAGTTTTGCCATGGACTCAACTGCAATGTCCAAGAACTCATTTAGCATGGAGGTATGTCATAGTTCCTAGTCATATCATAGAAATAATACTTTTCTATTTTGCTGCATGTAGAATCATAGGATCACAGAATCATTGAAAAAAAAAAAAAATCTAGATTGAGAGGAACCTCTGGAGTTCTCTAGCCCAATCTCATTGAAGTAGTACTAACTTCAAAGTGAGATCATGTTGCCCAATGATCTTATCCAGCTCTGTTTTGAAAATTTGCAGCAGTGGAGATTCCAAAACTTTCTGGAGAACTACTTCTAGTGTTGTACACATCCCATGGGGAAGAACTTTTCCTAGTGTTGAATAGCAATTTCCCTTGTGGTAATCTATGATTGCTCCTTTTGCTCTTTTGCTGAACACTTGAAGAAAGATAATCATAATGCTTGCTGACCTAAAAGGCTTTGTAAATACGTGCCAAGTATGCTAAGTGCTTTGTGAATTATTGACACTGGTAATTGCCATTTCTGTATTGGCATTTCCTTTCAAATGTTTAATTGAATTGTGACTTGATGAAAGATTTTGACTGGAAAAACCCTGAAAATCTAACATCAGTTTATGAAAGATGTAGCATCTCAATATTCCTTGTCTTTTCCATATGCACCCTGCACATAAGTGAGAGAGAACTGATTCTACTGCAAGGACTGTCAGAACTAGATTACTAGAGGCAAACTGGAACACATAGACCTATTTTCCAAAAAAACCTCAACATGCTGGCTACTTTTTTATGTAGGAAGGAGTTTTGAAGACCAGGCAGACTAGAACTGGAAGTATATCATGGACCTTCTTTTACCTGCACCATAGCCACCGCCCAGGGCCACACCATGTTCCAAATAGGCAGGGTAATCTTCTGTGTCTGATTTGCCTTCATTGCACAGAACTGGCTTCCGTAGCACAGAGTTGGTGAAAACCTTCAGGCCCATATCCTGAATGTGAAAGAATCAATCATGACACTCAGGGCTTGCACTAGCTACCAAGGCACGTTACTTTTCCCACCTCGGTTACCATACCTCATCTCTCTCCTTCCTTCTCACATCCCACCCACCCTTTGAACCTGAACGTCACAACTCTTCCCCTCCAAGCTCTAAGTCCTTCTTATGAAGGGGTGACATTTGGTGTTCTGTGAAGAGCAGTATTGATGTGGCTTGTGTTAGGCCATGGGGCCAGCAAGAGTGAAGGCAAGTGTATCAGGAAACATGTGGCCTGCCTCATAAGCTCAGATCTTTACTACAAATGCCTGCTATCATTAGTCAAGGCCATCATCCTGCTTAGGAAATGACTATGGAAGCATGGGCAGGATTCCAGTGAATACATCTAATAGTGATCCTCAGGCTTCCTAAGGAAGAGGTGGGAATGAAAAGACAGAAACTGGGTGATTAGAGACTTCAGACAGTTCATCATCTGTCTTCTCTTAGAAGTAAAAACCACCACCTGAGAAAGTTTAATGCTAATATGCACAAATTCTTCTGGAATACTTCCCACCTGCAGAACCTCAGAGACTACATACCCTGAAAATCCTGTAGACATCACCATCATGACTGACGTTCACAGGTTCATAGTACAAGCCATCAAAAAAGGTGGTTTTGACTGGAGTACACCCCTCTTGCTTGTCATCTTCCAGGTTGATCCCATTGTAGTAATAGCCATATAAATTGCTCACAGGAAGATGGTAGTACACCTGAGAGATGAGAAGAACTAGTGTAAACACAAGGCAGGCAGAAAATCTCATATATTCAAAGTTTATAGTGCCCCCTGAGCACTCCTATAGATAGATGATGGTGGGTTTGCCTAGTGATGCCTACGTAGAAATGGATAAGCAATTCAGCTGGTGATACACAAGACAGACTGGACTCGACCTGTCTCCTCAGCTACAGTGGCTTTGTGGGGTGAACTTGAACAAAAAAGTGGAGAAATACACTCCTGAGTAATGCAGAGAGGACACTGAAGTTCAACGAGATACTAGCTGGCATATACAACTTTTGTTCTCAGCTCAAGGCCTATTTGAGTCATAGAATGCAATTTTGACATAACCACTCCCCCGGGAGGAGTTATGCTTTCAAGGATTTACATTATATTCTTAGGACATGTGTTACACTGTTCTACTTTCAAAAAATGTTCCTCTACCAAATTCTGGCTTCAAAGTGTACAATTGTCACAGACCTTTCTTTTTTGGGATGTCTTTTACCAAGGGAAAAACAAAAACACAGCTGGCAACAAGCATCACAGATGGGAAATGGAATGTCATTCTAGATGATCCTAGGTCAAAAGGAGACAGGACTGGAGATGCAGCTTACACTTTCAGCAGATAACTGTTGCCCGGGCTGAAGAAGAAGGATACTCTGATCTACAGCTTGCAGGGCACAGTAGGAGTTGGCAGCAGATTCCAGGTGGAGACTGACTTTAGAGCCTGGGAGACCTTGCTTCTCAGAGAACTTGAGCTGGATCTGGAAATTCATAAATCCAAGACAACCATGCAGAAATTAAAGAGAATCAGTTTGGCACATAGGTGTAAATCTCACCTTTCACCCTCACTCACTCTATTCTCTGTGGGGCAAAGCTATCACCAGATGGCCCTTCTGAAACTTTCTTCTGTAAAAACCCACAGCCTCTATAATATCCTAGTCACTTCCCTCTCCACACTCCATTGAGAGCTTAGTTTGAGTCCTATCATATGCGGCAATTCCAGGGATAGCTCCTCATGTTCCCAGGCATATCTGTACCTTTTCTATTTCTAAAGGCTGTCCTTAGTTCAGGGATGAACTCATTCCCTGTTTCTTCTGCTAAGAGCCAGCTTATACAGCCCTTGATAAGGAAGCAAATGTTTTCACCTTATTTTTGAAGCATACATCACTGCATATCCAAGAGCTGTCAGCCACTACCTCCCCATGAGGATGCACTGTGTAGAGCAACAGCCTGCTGTTGGGACCAAGGTTCTCAGTGACAGTGAGTGTAATGGAGAATGTACCTCTGGGAGCTGTGAAAGTAACATGGAATAGGGAAGGAGAAGTCAACAAAAGAGATTAGGCAAACCTCATCTTTGGTGGAAGGACGATGTATTTACGCATAACCACCTATCAGCCCGTTTGAAAACAGGGAAACTGGATAGTAGAAGATTAATCTCTTAGTGGCTGAGGAGCATCTCCTATCAGCAAGAAAACATACAAACTGGAGGGTGCTGAGAGCAGAGAGTTTTCCAGAATAGGGTCTGAGATGAGTAGAAGTTGGACAAGGAAATCTGTGCATGATTGCTATGCGAAGAGCATAACATTACCTTAGAGTCTCAAACCTAGAACCTCTTACCCCAGAGGAGATAGGCCAATCTTCTGAACTAAAGGAATGCTCTCTTAACTCTAGGAAATATGAAGTTCTCATCTCCATGGAAGACATCAGCTAGAGCTGGGACAGGAAATTAAGCTTTCACTTAATTTTTGGTGAGTCACACACTATTGCACAGCTTAAGATTAGCCCCCAATAATATGGAAAAAACACATGGCTTCAAGCTTATTTCATGAAAGGAAAAATCATATGATATAGCTGCCTTTTGATGAATGGGATGCCTTTCCCTAAACCATAGGGGATCCTATACTGTGGAGCCATACTGCATGAATACTCAGAAAAAGACTAAAGGTGGCAAAACTAAATGACAAGTCCTATATGTGGAGTGAGGCTTACTTATGTCACCTACTGAAAAATGGAAAGAGACTAAATTTTGCAAGAAAATATGTTTTTTAACAATGGAAGAACAAAGTTCAGTTTGCTGTTGTTGGCACTTGTGAGTGCCTGGAGACTTATGAAACTGCAATGAATTCCAAGAAATTAACTGCTAAATAGCCGTCTCAAATGGGAATCTTATTATGTCAAACTTCAAAAAGTTTTAGTCTTCCAATTAGTGAAGACTTGGATGTCACAGAATAACTGTGAAACTGCAAGTACTCCTTGGCAAGAAATAAAACAGAAGAAAGTTACATTCCTTTGTGTTTGATGCCAACAAAGTTTTCAACTTTCAACTAGATCAATTTTTTTATAATATTGGCTAGCTGCTACAGCAAAAGGAAATTATACTGGGAGTATCTGATCATGTAATTCAAGAACTACTTTAGCTACTATTCTCTGCTTTCATCCCTTGCAAAACTTAGTAGTGTTCTGGTGCTCAGAACAATGCTCTGAAGTATAAACTCTAATATGGCCTAGAACTTACCATCAGAGATGCTGACTTCCTTCTGGCCACTGAGAACAATTTTTCCTTTTGTCATCACCTGGGCTTAGAAAAAACTCATGAGACAGGATTAAAAGCAACTCCTCCCTTCCCCAATGAAGTAATTGATTTTGAGTAGTGTTCTGAGAGGTTTCAAAGGCCATCAAGTTGAGCTGTGATCTGTAACCACCATCTGGCCTGGAGATTTCTGCCTTACACTGTGTTCAAGAGAAGGTGAAAGAAAAGAGGTGTTTTGGTAGCCAAGGTAGCACTTACTACATAGTAGAAGTTTGTGTGCCAGGCATTCCTGTAGCCTTCTCTGTTCAGAACATAGTGAATACTGATTGTTCTCTTCTGGCCACAGCTAAGCTTCTCCTTCACTGGCTCAATTTTCACAAAGCTGTTGGTCCGTGAGTAGAAACGATGGACATAGAATAAGACTTGGGGGTCATCACTAGTCCTCCAGATGAAGAAGTCTGCACAGTCATCTGCTGCCTGCCTGACCTATAGAACAGATTATACAGAGGGAATAAAAAAAGAGACATATAAAAAATGGCAGGCAGATGAGAGGCAAAAAAATTTACTTACTCTCAACTTAAAACTGGCATTAAAGAAGTTGGATGTGTTGATGGAAAAAGCAGCAGTGCCGTTCTTGTTAGTGGTATAGTTGGCTAGGTATTCTTCATTGAGCTCCAGCAGGACAGTCCTATTAGCAACAGGCTTGCCATCCACATCTGTCACAGCAATCTGAACACAAAAAAAACCCTGAATGGATTCAGAAAAAAAGCCAACCAACCAGCCAAATAAAAAAATAAAACAAACAAAAACCAACAAACAAACAACAACAAAAAAAAACAACAAAAAAACCAAATAAAAGCAAAAACAACACAAAAAGAACAGGAAATGCTTTGCTCACCAGAACACTGAAACACTGAGGACAATTGCAGGGAGTAGAAAACAAGAGTGAAATGTATTTAGGAGGCAAATGCTCCTCAATATTTTGAAGGTGCAGGAGTTCTTTGACAAGCAACAGCAGGCAATTCCTGTCAGTGCAGGGACGATATATATATATGTCATAGGAGAAGGAATTGTCTATATACATGATCCCACAGAAAAGATTATTTTAATGAAAACTCCCCTGTCTCTTCAGAGACCAATAGTTCAGTGGGCCACCATTATAGTAAAAAACTACTGAATGAGAGATGATGGTTTAAATTCTTTCCTCATACTCTATCTTACTGAGCAAATAAAAAAAGAAGGACTCCAGAGCACATACTCTTTGAAGGGCACTGATTAAGAAAACTAAAGCAATCATAAGACTTCATGGCCACAGATAACCTGTGAAACTCAGTAGCACTCTGAGCTCCTGGGAATCTAGACCTACCCTCTGTCCTCATTGCATATCAGGATGATGCTGTATGACTCACCCTTCTTTCTGTGCCTGGGTTTATCTTGCATGTGCAGGTTGATAAGAAGTTGGAATGTGCTCCAACACCTACACTGCTTTATGTAAATGTTCCTGGGACTGTGTGATGCAACACAGAATAAATTCTACCTTCAGTTTAAGCACAGCTGTGGCTGAAGTAGTTTCTTGCAGACTCTTCTTTCCCACTCATATGACCTTTCATTATCCACCTTTTAAGCATTCCCTAACTATGGCAGAAGGCACTTTAACACACCAGGTATAATATATTTTTGCTATTTTCTCAAGGAGCATCTAATATAATGAGAGGAATATGCAGCAATCACCATTACACAATATTATTACAGGAACTTGTCGGCACAGAGTTAAGGGACAGCCATAAATGGAGCAACGCATAGATCTGCATGCTGGACTTCAGGGAGTTTTGATCTAAATGTGTCCTCTCAGGTGCTCACCTCACCATAGTAAGGAATTCCTCTCTTGTAATAGGGATCCATATTTTTGAACATCACTCTATCATTTTCTTCATTGACTGCAACATAGTCATTGTCTTTCATCTGGATACCTGTGAGACACACCCAATGTGGGAAGAAACAGAAATCAGACGTGCAGAAAACTGTTTCTTTTGAAAAGCTATATGGAGCAGTGATGTTATGGAGAGTGTCCTGGTTTGAGCCAGGATTAAGCCAATTTTTCTTTTTACTGATTTTTTTTTTTTCTTCAGTAAGCTTTCTTTTAACTAGCAACAGTGTGTTCTGCTAGGCTGATAAGACAGTGGAATGTTTTTCTAACTACTGAGGCTTCAAGGCTGCACCTGCACTCTGCCGGCTCAGACACTGTGGGGAGATCTGTGACCCCCCCGTAGGAGG